CAACAGAGGAGAGATGGAATCCGTGGACAGCCATATATCTAACCACTCTTGCGGCTTTTCATCCAACTCTGAACAATACGCAGTCTTCTTTCCAAAAGCTACAAAGCACTGACTGTATATTTGTTAATGCTTACTCTAAAATGTATGTTAAACACAGGACTTTGTCTTTCCCTCCGCCACATCCTCGGTGCTTAGACCTGAATAAACCAGTAGGTTTTGCTTTACTAGTGAAGATTAGTTCCGAGGAGTATTACAAGGCCTGTCCCAGTCAGTGTTGTCTTCCTGTGAAGAGTCAGCACAACCATGGTAGCTCTTAATAAGGAACGCATGTAATTGGGGCTGGCTTACAGTTCAGAGGTTTAGTCCGTTTCCCTCATGGCAGGGAGCATGGCAGCACACAGGCAGTCATGGTAGCTGGAAGTTCTACATCCGAATCCAAAGGCACTGGCAAACCAAAGCCCATCTCAGTGACACACTTCCTCCAACAAGGTCACACCTCCAAAGACCTCTCAAGTAGTGCTGCTGCCTGGTGACCAAGCATTCAAATATATGAGCCTATGGTAGTCATTTCTATTCAAACTACCACAAGGCTCTAGTTGCAACAAAATGACACAATTTGTTCTCCTATCAGCATGATTCCAGATAAGCAACAACCCATTAACTTGTGAGCTGGGACTCTGGACAGCACCTCGTTGAGAATAAAGTCAGTTTCAGCAATCGGACTGCCAACATTCCAGAGAGTGTCAACATCACTCTGAAGGGTCAGTCGTTGTGAAGGGCTCGGTCGGGTCCCACTGTTGTGGAATAATCTTCTGTACACTATGATGCGTCACTCTGATTGGTTTAATATAAGGCTGAAAGGCCGATAGCTAGGCAGGATTTCTGGGCAGAGAGGATGCTGGGAAGCGGGTGATGCCAGAAGACACAGAGCAAGCAGGATGGGAAGTACAGAGAGGAGGAGGTAATAAAGCCGTGAAGCGGGAAGTGAATCAACAGAAATGGGCTAGTTTAAGTTATAAGAGCGAGTTAGAAACAAGGCTAAGGCTGAGCTTTCATAACTAATAAGTCTCTGTGACCTTATTGTGAGCTGGTGACCCCCCCCCACCAAAAAAAATATGACTGCATCCCATGTGAGGGGCTTTCAGGGGTTGACAGGGGATGGGGGCATAGGAAGGAACTGGCTACTTTATACCATCCGTAGTTATGGAGAGCGCTTGGTCACAGGTGTCGCGCTGGACTCAGGATGGAAGGGCAGCAGTAGCCTGTGAGAGGCAGGGGTGTGTGCACTCTTCAGGGTGCTCTGCTACATACAGCCATCTCCTTTTTTAGGACAGATGACTGCTTACTTCTCTATCAGAAGTCTGTGCCCACTAGGGAACTGCTCGAGTTATCCCTGTCCTCAGGACAAATGGTAGAAACTAGCACCAGCCTTTGCTCTCCTGGCCTTAAGGAAATCCCTCAAGCCCCTTCGATTCATTTTGTATGTCCAGGTGTTCTGCCTGCATTCACATCTGTGCACCACATGTGTGCCTGGTGCCCACGAAGGCCAGAGAGGATGCTGGATACCCTGGAACTAGAGGGAGAGAGCTGTAAGCTGCCATGTGCGTGCCATGAATTGAACTTGGGTCTGCTGGAAAGACAGCACTTAGCCAATCAGCCACCTCCCTAGCTGCCCTTACCCAGCTCCTTCCTGGAACTTGCTATGTAGCACAGCGACCTACAGCTTGTGGCAAGCCCTCCTCCTTAAATCTCTTATATCTAGGAGCTACTGCACCCTGCTAAATCTATTAATACTTCTAAATAATTGCTAGGAATTTCAGTCTGAATGTAAAAATATCCAAACTACCCTCCAGAATCTGACAGTAAACCCCGACTGCTGAAGACGCCCCATACCTGCATCACAGAACATGGGAGAATCAAGTTGGTTCTGACCTGGAAGCCTCATCTTTCCTGGCTCGTTTTCAGTGCTGGAATGTGTTGTACATATTACTGGAGGAGAAATGTAATCAATTTCACCCAGCTGTGAACTCGGCAAGCTACATAAATGGCCTGGCAAGCTGTGCCCACTGGTACAGCAGTGGCACAAATAAAGGAGTAACCACTTTTTGGTTGAACTTGAGGCTCCAGCAGATGAAACCCATCTATACCTGGCACTGGTATTGGGCCCAGAAGCCCTAGGAGAGGCCCTGCTCCTCTTACCCTCCCAAGTGGACATAGTATTAAACCAACTCCTAATGAGTTAACATTAAACCCCAGAGCAGTGTGTCTCTCAACCCTCATCAGAAAAGCTTCTATTTACAATGATGGAAATTAATACAGAGACCCACACTGGCCAAGGTGCAGAGAAGAGAATCTGGAGCACTCAGCCCTACACGGGACGTTTGTATCACACAACCCCTCTCTAAGGCTCAGAATCATCGCATAAGAGGGAGCAAAAAGACCGCGAAAGCCGGGGGTGTCAAGGAGACAGAATAGCTGAACAGAGAACCTCACAGCAGCTCACAACATATACAAGAGGGTTTGTAAAAGCTCTTGTCAGACAAGATCCCAGCATGGAGAAGAGAGGGGAGCAGTAAGTCCCACTCCTAGCTGAGGAAATAGTGACAACTTTGAGCTCCTGAGAGAGGGAGAGTCAATTTTCCTCAAGGGATAGCTCCCGATAGGCTGATGATCTAGTGAGAGTTCCCCCGCAACAGTCAGGATGATGGTCTAGTGAGAACGCCCCCCCAATAGTCAAGATGATGGTCTAGTGAGAGCCCCCAATAGTCAGGATGATGGTCTAGTGAGAACTTCCCAATAGTCAGGATGATGATCTAGTGAGAGCCCCCCCAATAGTCAGTATGATGGTCTAGTGAGAGCCCCATAGGCAGACTGATGGTCTAGTGAGAGCCCCCCCAATAGTCAGGATGATGGTCTAGT